ATGCTGTAACCTTTTTAAAAAGCCATTAGTGATGCACCTGCCTCTCTCTGTCTCCCTGCTCCTATTTGTGTGTCCTATTTGTCTCTCCCGTTAACACTGACACACACACCGTTTTCCATCCTGATTGCTAGCATCCCCATTCCCAGTCCCATAAACTAACTGCTGAGCCAAATGAACACATTTCCAGTCCAATTAGGGTATAAATCTTTCACGTATTTAGGTTCCACCTCAGAGTGCAAACCATTTCATTCAATTATTTACGTGTATTGTTCTCACGACTTGTGACTGTGAAGTTAAGTGTCTGGAACATAATAATTCTCTATTTCTGAGCTTAAGAAAACAAGATACTTCATAACGTGTCATGTTGCTGCTCTGAAGGGGCGGGGTTTATTCTCTCATAATGAGACAGATTTAACATTGACCTGGAGCAAACATAAAGCATGTACCATACACACATGGAATGATATTAGCCCAGTCCAACAGAAAAACTGACAAATCAATAGTTTCAGCCTTAAGTTAAACGTTTATCAGGCACTATGGGACGTTTACAGCAAAAACATTTCTGTGACAAAGTTAAGGAGCTTGTAGACATTAAAACACAGTGATGTCAAAGGATTTATTGGAAAAATTAAGCATGCAAAATTATTTTACACCACTAATGTTCTTTGTTTTTTACACTTTGAAGTTCAGTAAGAGAGTCAAACTGTGTTTTATTTACTTATCAGAGGTCAGGTACACCTTTTGACTTCAATACAAACAGCAGAAGAACTAAAGAAATGTAAGCACGAACAACGGTGAAATGGCATCTGAAAGAAAAGCAAAAAAAAAAACTGCCCAAATGGACAAAAATGCCCCTAATGAAGCTCGAGGGTTAAGAGAAATAAGCTTTTCTAAGGCCCTGTCCACACGTAGCCGGGGATCTGCCAAAACGTGATATTATTCTACGTTTTGGCCTGTCATCCACACGAAAACTGGGTTTTTTTCACACGAAAACTGATCTTTTTAAAAACTCCGGCCAAAGTGAAGATCTGCGTTTTCTCTGTTTTGGGTGTCTGCATGTGGACAGACAAAACCGGAGTTTTAAGGTCCGCAACGTCAATTTCCGCGACAAAAAAATGCTGACATCACGTGTGCGACCTGTGTTTACACTAGCCGACAGCATGGATGCCCTCAGAGCTGCGCTCGCTTTATCAATTGTCCAAGCGCTTTCTGCTTGTTTGTTTTTGCAAGCGGAATTACTGCTCCTTGCGGAAGACCACAGACGAAGGACGAGGTTAAGAACGGGGGAAGTACTGCCGCCTACAGGTCTGGCATGTCCTTAACAACGTATTTATCCGGGTACGTGTGGACAGAGTTTTTTTTTAATGAGCTGGTGTGGATGCAAGTTTTTGGAGGGTCGGATAGCCGTTTTTTAAAAAAACCGGCTATGTGTGGAATAGGCCTAAGAGTCTAAGAAGGAGGACGTCTGGGGGCTTTTTGATAGCGCCTCTTAAACTTTCTTAACTCTGGTTGGTTCAAAACTTACAAACAACAAACCTTTAAAAGAAGAAATGCTTCCTACATTGGGCGATCCCAGCAAAAGCCTCCAGCTTACGCTAATTTATCGTCCTTTGGGAAATCAAACCAGATTTTTCATTGGAACATCTTTAGTGGCATACCTTCTTTTGCAGAATCAGCCATTTATTATTTATTTAACCTGCAAAACTCCATCAGAAGCAAAACTTCATCAGAATCGCTATGAGCCACCCAGGAAGTATGTCTTCGACTAGTCGTGCGTATTCTGAGGGGGCCTACGACATCAGAAGTCCATGCATTTGCTTTGCTGAGATGGCTTTGCTTGCAGACCGGATCTCCGAGAACTTCCACTAAACTGCTAACGTAGGCTCTTCACAATGACGTTGGATGGTTTATTA